ATGGGGTGTGGCGAGCGTGCCAGTTCTCAGCTCCTGGCCATCCCGCAGCCCCAGCAGAGCCAAACCTCAGGAGCCACGGGGGATTTGAAGGAGCCCAAGTGCCAGCCAGAGGAGCCACAGCCCTGGAGCTCCTCATGGACCGCAGTCACACGGGGGTATTCCCTTGTCCTTCTCCCCCCCCAACACGTGTGCCGGGGGCCAGCTGTGCTCTCGCACGCCCCTGCACACACTCAGCCCCGGGGTGGGGGGGGAAGGGGGGGCACAGGAGCAGGGTTTGCCCCATCCTGGCACGGCTCCCTGCCCTCTTGGCACAGGCTGGGGCTGCTGGAAGGGGCGATTCCCCGGCTGTCGGGCACACACGCACCCGGGGGGACCTGGCACCGAGACGGGCTTGGCCACTGGCCACGGCGGGGGGATGGGGGGGGGGGGTGTTCAGGGGTGTGTGCACACGTGTGTGTGTCTGGAAGTGTCCAGGAGTGGGTTTGTGTGCACACATTTGTGTGTCTGTAAGTGTTCAGGGGGTGTGCACACATTTGTGTGTCTGTAGGTGTCCAGAGGTGTGTGCACACGTGTGTGTGTCTGTAGGTGTTCAGGGGTGTGTGCACACACGTGTGTGTCTGGAAGTGTCCAGGGGTGGGTTTGTGTGCACACGTGTGTGTGTCTGTAAGTGTTCAGGGGTGTGTGCACACGTGTGTGTGTGTGTCTGTAAGTGTCCAGGGCTGGGTTTGTGTGCACACGTGTGTGTGTCTGTAGGTGTTCAGGGGGTGTGTGCACATATGTTTGCATCCCCAAGTAGGTGCATCCCCAGGAGAGGCATCTCCAAATAGGTGCATCCCCAGGTAGAAGTATCCCCAGGTAGGAACATCCCAGGGTAGGACCATCCCCAGGTAGGTGCATCCTCAATAGGTGCAACCCCAGGTAGGATCACCCTCAGGAGGAGCATCCCCAAGTCGATGCACCCCCAGGTAGAAGCATCTCCAGGTAGGAACATCCCAAGGTAGGAGCATCCCCAGGTAGGAACACCTCAAGGTAGGAGCATCCCCAGGTAGGTGTATCCTCAGGTAGGTGTATCCTCAGGTAGGTGCATCCTCAATAGATGCTACCCCAGGTAGGATCACCCTCAGGAGGAGCATCCCCAAGTTGATGAACCCCCAGGTAGAAGCATCCCCAGGTAGGAACATCCCAAGGTAGGACTATCCCCAGGTAGGAACACCCCAAGGTAGGACCATCCCCAGGTAGGTGCATCCTCAGGTAGGTGCATCCTCACTAGGTGCAACCCCAGGTAGGATCACCCTCAGGAGGAGCATCCCCAGGCAGGAACATCCCCAAGTTGATGCACCCCCAGGTAGGAACATCCCAAGGTAGGACCATCCCCAGGTAGGAACACCCCAAGGTAGGAGCATCCCCAGGTAGATGCATCCTCAGGTAGGTGCATCCTCAATAGGTGCAATGCCAGGTAGGATTGCCCTCAGGAGGAGCATCCCCAAGTTGATGCACCCCCAGGTAGAAGCATCCCCATGTAGGAACATCCCAAGGTAGGAACATCCCCAGGTAGGAGCACCTGAAGGTAGGACCATCCCCAGGTAGGTGTATCCTCAGGTAGGTGCATCCTCAATAGGTGCAACCCCAGGTAGGATCACCCTCAGGAGGAGCATCCCCAGGCAGGAACATCCCCAAGTTGATGCACCCCCAGGTAGGAACATCCCAAGGTAGGACTATCCCCAGGTAGGAACACCCCAAGGTAGGAGCATCCCCAGGTAGATGCATCCTCAGGTAGGTGCATCCTCAATAGGTGCAATGCCAGGTAGGATTGCCCTCAGGAGGAGCATCCCCAAGTTGATGCACCCCCAGGTAGAAGCATCCCCATGTAGGAACATCCCAAGGTAGGAACATCCCCAGGTAGGAGCACCTGAAGGTAGGACCATCCCCAGGTAGGTGTATCCTCAGGTAGGTGCATCCTCAATAGGTGCAACCCCAGGTAGGATCACCCTCAGGAGGAGCATCCCCAGGTCGATGCACCCCCAGGTAGGGGCACCCCCAGCCCATCTCTCCCCAAAATCTGATGCTCCCCCCTTCCTTGGGGACACGCAGGAGCTCTCCTCTCCTCTCCAGCCCCAGCCCTGTCCCCGCTCAGGGCCGCAGCGTCTCCCCCGGCCCATCTTGGGCCAGGGGAGGTTCAGGCTGGATATTAGGAACAATTTTTTCCCTGAAAGGGTTCTCAGCCATTGGAATGGGCTGCCCAGGGAGGGGGTTGAGGCCCCATCCCTGGAGGTGTTCAAAAGCCGGGTTGATGTGGTGCTGGGAGGTCTGGTTTAGTGATGATGCTCCTTGTTTGTTGTGTGGGTGTCTATTTTTGTCAGTCGGGTTGACGGTTGGACAAGATGATCTTGAAGGTCCCTTCCAACCTAGAAGATTCTGTGATTCTGTGATTCTGTGATCTCGGTGCAGCTGCAGCTGCGGGTGCCCCCCGAGAGCCCCCCGCCCTCGCCCCGCGCCGGGCAGCGCCAGCCGTGTGCCGGGCACAGCTTGCGGGGACGCGGCGCTCGGCGGCTCCCACCGGGCTCCCGGCAGCAGCCGGCACGCGGGGTCTGGGGACACAGAGGCACTGAGGTGTGCGAGGACACGTGGAACAGGGGGGGTCCCCACGCGAGAGGCCCCCACGGCCGCCAGAAGCTGTTTGGGGCTTTTCGGTGCAGCTGGGAACTGAGGGCTTGTGGGTGCTGGGGGGTGGGGGTCACGCTCGCCCCGCTGTGGGGAGGGGAGAGGGGTCAGATGGGGTGACACCAGGTCACCCCCATCCCCTGCACCTTCCCTCTGCACGGCCACGGGAGCAGAGACGACACACGAGTGTGTGCAGGGCACGTGTCACCTCCCTGTGCGCATCTACGGGCTGCTCACAAGTGTGTGCACACATAGACACACACGGGAGAGAGCACCAGCACGGCGTGTCAGCGTGCACACGTGCAAAGGGCCTCCTGTGCGTGTTTGTGCACGTGGGTGTGATATTTGTGTGTACGGGCACATCCGTGGAGGTGCACACATGTATGTGGGTCTGGGGCAGCGCGTGTGTGACTGGGTGCGTGTTCATGTGCGTGTCTACACGTGTGTGCAGGTGTGTTCGTGACACGCACCCCACGCACACCGCTCAGAGCCAGCAGCAGCTCTGTAAATGCACCCACACTCACCCCACAGCTGAGTCCACCACCCCAATGCCTCTGGAGATGACCTTCCCAGGGGGTCCCATGGCCAGTGCTGGTCCCATGGTCAGTGTTGGTCCCATGGCCACCACCACCAGCCCATGGAGCCCAGCCCTGAGGTCAGGGATCCCAGCTGGACCCCAGCATGGGGGAACTGGGATCCTCTGGTTCCCCCCAGGCAGAGCCTCACCACCACCACCACCACCTCCTTGCTGGAGACCATAGAAAAGGAGACAACAGCCCCGGGGAGACGCTGCTTGCAACAAGACCACAACTTTATTTGAACTGGGATCCTCTGGTTCCCCCCAGGCAGCACCTCACCACCACCACCACCACCTCCTCGCTGGAGACCACAGAAGAGGAGACAACAGCCCCAGGGAGACGCTGCTTGCAACAAGACCACAACTTTATTTGAGCTAAAAACCCAATTCTGCTTTTTTTTACAAAAGGATAAACATTTGCTCTCGGTACAAAAGGGAAGAAGCCCCAGGACCCAGGGGCTGGGCAGGGACCTCTGGAGCTCAAGTCATCTCCAAATTCCCAACTCTATACAAAACACCTCTGTGAAACAGGGAGGTTTGGCCAGTGGGACATCAAAAATAGTTGCCTGGATTTTCTTGAAAAAAAAAAAATATCCAAAAAAATAGTTGCATAGCCTTTAAAAGTTATTGCTCATCTAGAAATAGAAGGGAATGGTTGGGAGCTGCTGGGCACCATCAGCCTCCAGAATCCAAGAAATGGCCCTGTTAAATACATAGTTCAACATTAAATATGTAACCCCTTGGTTAAATACTTGGTTTCATCGTCAGAAACTGGACCATGAGGGCAGGAGGAAAATAAATTAAATAAATAATGGCTAATAAATAATCCTGGAGCAACAGCACTGCAAAAACCACACGTCTCCACAAAGCTAACTCCAACTAAGCACTTGGGAGTCAACTGGAACATGAGGAGGTTATTCAGCACATCCCACATTTCATGTAACATGGAAGGAAATAAATTTAACTCCAACTAAGCACTTGGGAGTCAACTGGAACATGAGGAGGTTATTCAGCACATCCCACGTTTCATGTAACATGGAAGGAAATAAATTAGACACCCCCCCCCAAACACACACACACACAGTAAATAATAAATAAAACGGGAAATTAAGACACAATTCTTTTGGCAGGATGTTCTTCAGGACACGGATGGTGAGAAATGACACTACAGACCGTAAGAAGATGTGGTCCTAGTCAGGGTTCAGCTGAGAGCTCCTCTTCCAGCTGGGATATTTGTGCTCTGGAAGATCAACGCTCCCTTAACGAGGTTTCAGGAGCCGTGTGCTGATGAACTCGTGGTTGTTGTGGGTCATGTGTGAGGTCTGAGGCTCAGAAGAGGACAGGCAACCAGGCTCAGTGCAGGAGGAGAGCGGTGAAGGGACCATCTCAGAGAAGCTCTGAGCCTGGCTGGACCATGGGACAATATGGTGGCAGCAAAGATAAGGTTCTCCATTGTGTGGGAAGCTTCAAGTAGAAGCAACCATGTCGGTCTTCTGCAAGTGGTCGAGATCATTGCCACCTCTGCCAGCCCATCTGGCCATGGCTGAAGTGGGAAAACCATGACCCATCAGAGCCTGTGGAAGGGGAACCGGTCACCCCAAGGGGCAGGAGGGGCTCGTCTCCACCTGATGCAAGACAGAGGTGTGCCCATACCCCACCACCCCAAGGAGGGAGGAAAAGGAGCCGTAACATCTTGGCAATGGACCATCCCAAGTGCTGGAGTGCATTCAGGCGGAAAGTCCTGCAGGGTGAAGCCACCTTCATGAGCATCTCTGGGGGAGAGGGAGCAGGAGGCAGCAGCTCAGCTTTTGGTGAGGTGGCTCCTCAGGGTTAAGCCATAGGGAAGGGTTCACGTGGCTCCTGGGGACAGCTTGGAAACCAGTGGGGTGGTACCAGCGCAGAGCTGGTGGCAGAGGACAGAAGAGCCAGCTGAACCTCCCACGGGGATGTCCTGCAGAGATGCTCACGAGTCTTTCACCCCGTGGCAGCGATTTCCTCACTCCAGTTGTGTCCATTCTAGAAACAGCTCCATGAACTTCTCTCTGCGTCAAGAATTTGGGTCTAACTCTTCTTCACTACTCATTGAAGATGGCGTTGAGCTGGGGCCCGGCCACGTGGTGTGGGTAGGACTCGTAGCTCATGTCTATGGGGATCTCGTAGCGAGGGACCGTGTTTTGGAAGTGGGAGGCATGTCCATGTGCTCCCGCCAGGCTGACGGAGGGATAGTGAGCCATGAAGGTGTAGGATTTATCCAGGTCTGGAGACCCATCTTGCTTCAAGGAGAAGTTCCCGCTGATGCTCAGGGGCGGCGTCAGGGGACCCTCATAGGGGGGAGTGGTGCAGTCAGAGGGATGGTTTCCAAAGGAAGCATCCACCAAGCTCTTGAAGGTCGGAGGCTTTAAATGCAGCAGATGGGTTTCCATGGTCCCGTAGGGTGGGCTTGGGAGCCCCGGGGACTGGTAGCTGAAGGAGTGGCTGGATATGGCCGATTCACACACTGGGGACTTCTCTTCATGCTTCTTCAGGAACAAGGTCTGCGGTCCCAGCTGCAGACAGCCGGCCACCAGGTTGCTGGTGGGCTGGGACAAGCCCTTGCAGAGCATCTCCACAAAGCTCTTCCCTTCAGGAGTCTGCCCCGTCTCGAGCACCTCAGAGAGAGCCCAGATGTAGTTCCTTGCAAGCCTCAGTGTCTCAATCTTGGACAATTTCTGAGTCTTGGAGTAGCAGGGCATCACCCTCCGCAGGTTGTCAAGAGCATCGTTCAGACCATGCATCCGTGTGCGCTCCCGGGCGTTGGCCTTCACCCGCCGGGCCCTGAACCGCTCCAGCCTCGCCTTGGTCATTTTCTTCTTCTTTGGTCCTCTCCTCTTCGGCTTTTCCCCATCATCCTCTTCCTCCTCTTCTTCCTCGATGCTGTCGTGCTCTTCATTCAAACCAGACATCAATCCAAAAGTACCTTGCCTGCTGTCCTCCTCCTTTAGCTCCTCTTTGGAGCCCAACGTTTCATCCATCCAGGTTTGGGTGCTCACAAGCTCTGCCATCTCTTTGGGCTTGGCATACGTCTTGGTCATCTCCGACCTCTGCAACAAGGGGACAAGGAGATGTTAGGGAATTCCAGCAGGAAAATGGTGGAATGGTGAGGGCATTAGGAACTGGGGTCAAAATCATCTTCCAGAGGCATCAACTGCTTTCTGTCCACCAAGGGTACTTACAGAATTTATTTATCCATCTCCTCTCTATTTATCTACCTATAATAACTTCTGCTGAATTTTTTTGGGAGCTACTGAAGCTTCTCCATGGGGTCCAGCAGCTCTTTTCTAGGGCTCAGGACTTCTAACAATCCCGTTTTGGGGTTATTCCCACTCATGAGTCCCTCCCCTCGTGACTTCAACCCTGACTGCGAGTTGAAAGTCAAGGTCCTCCATCTCCAGAGATTTTCCTGCCCGAGCTCTTCTAACCTGAGCACGTTTGCTTCAACCTTCGTTCCCCTCGGCCGTAACGAACACGGTCACAACCGTACGGACCAGCCTGGGTTTCATGTTAATCAGCCCCCCAAATCCTGTCATCCTGCCTGACTCATTTAATAAAGCTTAGCATCTAAGCAGCTTTGCTGAAAGTGTGCTGCCCGAGCCCCGGCTCCGCGGGCCCTGGCCACCCCATGTGGAAAATCCTGCTTTTAATATGCGTGATGGGGCCCGGGGCTGGATTAGGGTGTTAATTGCTGCCCACAGCCATGGTATCCCCAGAGGACCATGTGGCCCCAATTAACTCTTCAGCAGAGTAATAGGGGGTCTGTCAGATGCTTGGAAATCGGGTGGGTGAAGGTGGTGAAGGGACCATCTCTTGGACAGGATGGTCCTTCCATCTCTTGGATGGGTCTGGCTGAGGCAGGATGGAGACGGTCCAAAAGGTGAAGGTGGGACCATGGGGCTGCACCCGCTTTGTGTGGTGAAAGCAGCCCAGAAAAGGCTGCAGATCTTCTCTAAACCCCCTCCAGGCTGCACTCTGAGGGTTATTTCACTCCACCCTTGGAGACCTACCCCAAACGCAGCATCCCTGCCTGCACCTCCTGTCCCTCACCGGTCCCATGCACCACAATCCATCCCAGAAGAAAACCAGCAGGTTTGGGGCTGTGTTTGAGAGGAGACCCCGGGGTCCTCCCCTGTTCCCTGCACCCCACGGTGCAGTATTCCCATATCCAGTTGGAATTTTTAGGGATGTTACTCTCTTTCTCCAGAATATTGATTTTTTTTTAAAGCGGAGGGAAAGTAGACAAAGAGGGAATTGCCTGATGAAGTCACTTTGGTGGTTTCCCCAATTCCCTGAGTAAGGAGACGGTGGGAACCCACTGCGGAACGGGAAGCTGGTCCAGCCCCTTAGACTTTTCATTTTCAAATGTCTCCATCCCACATTGCCTGAAAGATCTGCCACAAACCCATTGCAGGAAAAAAGCCTGCTGTAGCCCAAAAGTTATTTTTCAAGCGGGGATGGCTCCGCTCCTGGCAGAGGGAGATGCTCCCCCTTTGTGTCACCGAGCTCCCGTCCCAAAACAAGTGGGTTCAATTCCTTCTCCTTTCCTGTAGGACCAGGAACTTGATTTCAACCCTCCGCTGGTTTCTTCTCAAGGGACTCGATGCCCCAGAGGAGGAGAGTTTGTTCAGGACGAAGATGGACCAACTCCATCCCTGAACAGCCACTGTATGAAGACCCTGACGCCGAATGGGGCCACCCAAGGCAGAAGAAACACAGAGGGCTGAGGAAGAGGATGCAGGAAAGATGCTGGCACAAGAGCCAGGAACAAAACAGGCAGCTGGGGCCGGGAATCCATCCTGGAGGGGGGCAGGAGGGACAAGAAACCCACAAGCAGACCACGAAAATTAGGATTTGCTTGAGAGCTCTGTACCTCGTCCTGCCTGAGAACGCAGCAGGATGTGGCCCAGCTGCACAGGGACCCGGAGGGCTCCGGCTGCAGGGAGGATTAAAAGCCCCACAGCTGCTCCATCAGCTCCAGCACGGCCAATGGGGTGACTACAGGGACACTGGTGTCAGCCAAGTCCTAAATCCAGGATCTGGGTCCTGGGGCTGCCCACAGCTCCCAGTCCCATTCATGGTCCCAGTTCCAGTCCCACCCTCAGCCAACCGGGGCAGGGGAGAGGGGATGCAATGACATTTGATGGGGGAAAACCTGCTCCAGGGCAGCCCTGCAGCACCCACACAGACCTGGAGAAGTGGGAGGAAGGTGGGGGATGCTGCTTTCCTCCCTTCTGGAGTCCTGGCCCCGGGCAGGACGCGCTGAGGAGGGGGCTGCCCCACAGACCACCAGCCTCCCCTCCCCGGGGCTGCCCCCTCCGAGAGCGGAGAAACAAAAGCCGGGGGCTGTGGCAGGTCCTTCATCACCTCCATCACCTTCATCACTACCACCCCCAGCGAAAGCCACCCCCGGGGGTGGCCGGACCCACCGCCACCCAGCTCCGGGACAGGGCAGAGCCCCCAGTGCGGGGGTCCCCGCCGGGCTCCGGGGCTGCGGCTCCATCCCCGACGGCTGCGGGGATGCGGAGGGGCGGCTGGGGCTCGGGGGGGCCGGCTCCATCCCATCCTTGGCTCCGCCACCCCCGCCAGAGCCCCCTCCGGGACGGGGACCCCCTGTTCCGCCGTCGGGACAGAACCCCCCCCGCGCCGTCCCGGGGAACCGGGGGCACCGAGCGGCTGCGGAGCCCCGTTGGACGGAGCCGACACGTCCCTTCGGGTCCCCCCGCACCCCCGGGGGTCCCATCCCGCCCTTACCTGGGCACCGGAGCGAGTCCCCGCTGTCACTTGCCCGGGCTCATGGTGTCTCCAGCCCCGGGGGCGCGGGCAGCTCCCGCGGCGGCGGCACCGGGAGCTGCCGGGCGGTTTTGAGAGCTCCGCGCTGCCGGCGGCTCCTGCCCGGCCACCG